CATTGCAAAGTTGAAACGTTCTTAATAAACTAAGGTAATCCTTGAACAGGAAATGAGAGCAGGCAAAGTGAGTAATACAGAAACTAACAGCAGAAACAAGCAATGAAAATGGATACTTGGAAGGGGTAAAATCTGGAGTAGTATTCTTGGCCCTAACGGATTTCCCACCAGTGAGGAACTATTATTCTTATGCAGGTAAAAAAAAAGGAACTGCAAAGGGAAACCAGGTATAGTGTGGGAGCAAAAGCCTGCCATATGTATTCTTTTTTTACCTCACAAGAATCATTAGTAAAGAACACTGAATTCTCAGGGCACTTGGCTGGCTCAGTTGGTAGAACATGTGACTCTTGATCTCTGGGTTTAAGGTTTGAGCCTCACGTAGGGTGTTGAGATTACTTAAAATCTTTTTTAAAAGATGTATTTAAGGGGCGCCTGGGTGGCTTAGTCGTTAAGCATCTGCCTTCTGCTCAGGTCATGATCCCAGGGTCCTGGGATGAACCTGGCATCGGCTCCTTGCTCCGCAGGAAGCCTGCTTCTCCCTCTCCCCCTGCTTGTGTTCCCTCTCTTGCTGTGTCTGTCAAATAATAAAATCTTTTAAGAAAAAAAAAAAGATGTATTTAAGTAATCTCTACACCCAACATAGGGCTCAAACTCATGACCCTGAGATCATGAATCACATGCTCCTCTGACTGAACCAGCCAGGCACCCCCTTTTTTTAAAAACTAGGCTCCATGCTCAACCTGGGGCTTGAACTCACAACCCTGAGCTTGAGTTGCATGCTCTATCAACTGAACCAGGTAGGCGCCCCAAAAATAAAGTCTTAAAAAACAAAAAAAACACCCACTGAATCCTCAGACGTCTGTTCCATTTGCCTGAAGGCAGATTCCCAACCCCCATCTTTCCACATGCTTCACATAACTAAGATAACACTGTAGCAACTCTGAAACTAAAGCTGGTCTAGTTAAATTTTCAAATCTTGAAAATGACAAGCCTTTGAGCAGTGTGGGAGGGTTCAAGAAGACAAAGTTCTGTAATCTTTGAACAAGTAGGGCCAAAAAGAACTAGGGATAAATTAAGACAGATCATTTTGAACTCCAGGAATTAACGGGCCATGCTCTGAGCATCTGGCTGGAGCCATGCTACACACCAGTTGTGCAAGTTATTTCACTTTTTGTAAAATACACCAGCTGTCACAACTGCTTTAACATTTTCTGAAAGGAAACAGTATGAAGCAAGAGCTCTATAAATTCGCAAAACAGGAACCGAAAGACAAAGTCTGGTTGTGTCAAATGAAGGGAAGTGTTGATTACTTTGACTCCCTCAGTGACTCATGTTACCTAGTTACCATTTGAGCCAAGTTTTTAAGGTGTTAAACTAAGGAACATGACCGCAGAAATGGCTTCACATCACAACCTACCAATGGGAGCAACTGCAATGCACAGAACTCAACAAGGGCCAAGATTTGGACCCCTGGATCCTATGCTACCCTCGCTCCAACCCTCTGCTTAGGAGTGCACTAGTATGTAACAGCTTTGTAAAGATAAAAGTTGCCCTCTCCTAGTAGTTAGGCTTCAGAAAAAGAGGGGCTTCCTAGCAGAAATGAACTTTTAAATGCACAAAAGCACAGAATCCTGTTTGTACAATTAGCATTTGGTGCTCAGGGCTTGAAACCAATATGCAAACTTCGTATTTGCACATTTCCATGGTGATTCAGCTCCCTTTCAAGGCAGCTGAAAATAAAGACAGGATAGGGTTTCTGAAATTAATGTGCTTATGCTCACCTTTGTTTTTGGGAGAAGGGGAAAAAAGTACCTATCAAAACTCTTTAACTGTGGGTGTTAACTCTTCTATAGCTCCTTCATCTAAGAAGGTGGAGATGGGGAGATAGAAGAACTGCAGCAATGAACCAGCACACGGTGACTAAAAGGTGAAAAATCAGGACAGGGATTTTGTTAAAATGTACAGAACTACTCCAAAGTACAGCAGTAATACATTTCAAAACCCAACACCTCTAATTTGAATGAAGGAAGGGCTTATTTGGAACAGAACCATCCTTTGCTCTAAAGCAAATCAGCTTTAGCAGGCTTTTGCTTGTTAATTCACCTATTTATTTGCTCAGCTGACTTCCCTAAAAGGCTTGTCTAAGTGGGGGAAGGAAGACAGTCATCGATTAGAAAACACCCGTACCACACCTTGCATTTGAATAAAAGATTTATTATTTTCTTCTCAGGAAAAACAGGAAGTTAGGGAAACATACTACATTTTACAGCCCACATTAATTTGTAGTTGGTCCTAACCCTTCCTGGCACAGCTGTCAACAGCATTAGCTGTTTAACCAGAACCAAGGTGTTCACCCCCCAATAAAGTGTGCATGGACACTAGAGGATTGCATGTTTTTCCCTGAGAGAAGCATAAGACAAGTTGCTGAGAGCCAGCTTTCCAAGCAGCCCCTCCCTTTCCATTTCAGAGGATTTGCTTAAACTATGCAAGCCAGTCAGCACTTAGAACACGTGCCTCCTCTCCCTAGAAAACCACCCACCCTTCCCTAAAGCACTTGGCTCCCTAAGCCCTGATAGCCCCCCGACACAAAGTTTCAACTAAGATCCTCCTCTACATTTCAGCAGTCACACCTAGTAAATTGGGAAGTGGGTTCCCTAAACTCCTCCAATTTACATCTATGCGCTTATTTCCACAACTGGATATGGGGAGACAGGCCTTTTAGTCATCTTTACCAGATTTTAAGATTAATTAAAAACTACATAAAGTGCTTTTAGGTCCTTAGAGATAGACAGGACATAAATAAGTGGTTCATGATCAAGAATGATAAATACATAGGTAAAAATAGCTCTAGCTAGATGACCTTATGGCTCAATGATGGGCAGGCAGGGCAATCCTTCCCTATTACATTCTTAGTCATTTTATTCATGCCTATTTTCATCTGGAGTCCACAGACTGAAGGTCATGTTCTGCGAATGAAGCTTTCAAATGACCCTAGGTCTTCTATAGAAGCTTTCTTCAGTTTACCAGCAGTAGCTTTAACATAACTCTTTGAGGTTTAACAGAGCCCATCTCTTTCTATAATTTTAAATGAGCATTTTTGAATGCAAAGGAACATAGTTTATCCCCTCCTCTGAAAAATTCCTAAAGGGACTTTTAAACCTTTCCCCCCAAAGATAGGATCAATCAACAACTGAAAAGGTACCAATCCAAGGAAAAGGGACTCCCACCACATGACTGTTATGGTCATGGCACCCACTGTACTACAACCTCCCAAGAATAAAATTCATTAAGGATGAAGGTCTCTGCTGGGGTGAGGGTTGGGGGGTGGGGGTTACGTAGGGTTCATAGTGCCAAAAACTAAAAGGGCTAGTAAGAGTTCAGGGATGGCGGGGTAAGGATGTAAGAACTGAAATAACTATCTGTAGAGGGAGAACAAGCAGCAAATATTTCAAGGAAGGACAGAAAATAAACAGTTAACTAAGTTCGATAAAATGTCAAGTCTGAAATCCAAAGAGATGCCAATGCAAAAATCTGAAACAAAGTGTGGGAATCATTAACAGAAATGAAACATAAGTATTTGTTTTATTGATATACTAGGCTTAGACCTGTGTTTAACAAGCAAGCCTAATAATAGCACCATGGTTAGACTATAAGCCTGCTTTTCCAAGCCATCATTTTACAATTTATTAAGCAAACAAGGGATCAAGTATCTCTCATCCACTGATGTGATCTTTTTATATACATACTGTTAGTAAGTCCCATTTGGAACAGCTGAAAATTTTAGCAAAAGTTTTGAAGATGAGCTCATAAACTCAATTTAAATTTTACCAGTTAAATTAGGTCAAGTGGAAGGAACTCAAATGAGTAGCTACTCATCAGTCAGAGCCCATTATTTTGTAAGTTATTAGCCCACATGCGCCCCCTGCCCAAAACTTAAACTCCACCTTGACTCAATTATTGAAAACCCACAAGTAAGGCGGTGAAAGGATGAATTCCCATTCCTCAGTTTCTCAATCCCAGGTTTAAAAAAATAAAAACAAAAACTAAGGAATACTTACCAACCAGATAGGAAAATTAAAGTCTGCATAGTTATGAATCAGAATTGTTCCATTACAACCAAGTTGTGTACAATTACACCAATTGGTTCTGTATACAATCTAGAAGACCAGAACAATATTTAGAATAGAAAAGCTGTAAGAAAGATTCCTAACTACAGAAGTTCAAATGGGTATGCAAAAACTGATGTATTTCGAGACTCTTCATCCCTTTACATTTCAAAGAAATAGACTTTCTGTAAAAATATATACAATTTTTACAGACAAATACATTTACAAGATGTTTTTACCTTAAAAATTGAGGATATTCTCATATTTGCAACTGTAATTATTGAGCCTTAAGTCAAGTATTCTTGGCCATCACTAGGCTAATAAACTAAACCACTCAAACCAAGCCAAAGTAGAACAGGTATAAAAGTCCTGAGCACTTGGACTTTCTATTCAAGAAGTATACCTGGGAAAGCTAATTACAGAGAAAAAGCTTCCCTTCACACTCTGTTGTACAGTACTGAGGCTTCTAGTCATAGTTCTATTACCTGTAGCTTAAATCCATTTGATACAGATCAATGCCATTGTTAGTGCTTCTCTTTTAACACTATAAGAAGTTAATGAATTCAGTGGACATATTTAATGGACTCTATGACTAGCCTGGCTACTGGCCACTCTCCTGTTCTAGACAAGGAAATTAAGTCTCTTCAACCCTACCATCTTCACTAAATCTAAAAGTTCTCCTCCATGGCCTCCCAAAGTTTGCCTGTTGCTGAACTAACTTGGCTTCTTTTAGACAGTGACTCTTCAAGGGGGACTACTTTTCCCATGTATTTATTCCTGTTAGCCATAATCCTCTTGCCACTTGCTGTTCTACGTTGCTAGAG